GTGTTTGCATTTTTGCAGCACTTTAAATACCGTTTATATCCTCTGCTATACATTTATATACTCACAGAAACCGGAACTCTCGACCCTTCAGACAAGCTTAGTCTTCCCTAATTCAGCTACAGCAAATAATAAGCTAAACGGTTGCTGGGAAAGATTCCTGATTTCTTTTGAAAAACCAGCCGTGCATAGAGATATAATCCAGATACCTGTGGGATTCTTGCTACGTCTTCTTGCCTGCATTTGCACAGCTTATGAGTGTCATGCCTTCAGAATGCAGACTGGCTTGGGGAAATTAGGATGTCAGCGCAAGTTCTACCAGAGTGCCGCTTTCGAGGCCTTCCTTTCCAAAATGATTATCATTTTCCCTCGGGTTCAGAAAAGATCTGGTTTCGGTCAGAACCGCTGCATCTTCAAAGAGTTCACGATAATCCCACGAACAACAACAACCGCGACTCCTGAAATCTGAAGGTGATTGGTGACGGCATGTCTCCCATCCCCAACTCCTCCCCCCTACCCTCAGCTCGACGCCAGTTCCTTTTGGGGAGTCTCTGAAAAACTGGGAAAAAATGGTAGGAAGCTGAGGAACGTGCGAAAACTTTGGGAAGTGGCTGGTATGAGCTAGGGTAGTGGTGTCGTACCAAATCAGGAAATTTTTCTGTGGAGGGGAAGGAGTCATAGTGGCATCGTCATTTCACACATTATGATGTTATACCGTGGAAATTGTAATTTCTCTCAGCTACTCGCGGGATGCGCCTCTGAGTTTACCTCAGATGGACCATGAGACCTCAGAAAATTTTCAAGCCTCTGGTTTCTAGCGTTGAAGTGTTGGTACCGCTGAAGTATAGTCGGATAGCTAGAAGGTACGGTTTTCCTACACTCCGACTAGCTCACCCTCCGCGGCTGTTGTGCTTGCGAGGAGGAACAAAAATGTTAGGTGCCGCAGTTGCTGAGGATCGGTAAAGAAGTCGAAACTCTTATACTACTTCTGTAGGTCAAACCTTTGCTGCTTATAAGTCAGAGAGGAGATGTTAAATAAGAGGGACTGATTAGAACGAATGTTACCATACCCGATCTGCATATAAGCTTTTCATAAGCGTCACATGCATACGGACAGAGTTCTCGATTGTTGATAGAGATTTTTCTGTTGTAGGCGAAATACCGGCAATCACGAGCCGTTTCCGTAGTAGGTCACAGATTCTTTGCAGACTGAAACCAGTGAAGTTAGAAAACTACAAGACAAACTCATTCATGGGACTATGGACTCACGGCTCTGAACGAACAGTCGAGAAAAGGACGCGCACATTTTTCGGATCGTCTTCCCACGTCTCCACGCCGTTTAGTTCGATTTCTAGCGGAGTGCTCGGAAGAAGGGCACTGAATATAATTATATGGGTAACTTACAACCAGGATACACCTAACATCTCACGACTGACCATTTTAGCGAAAGACCCTTCTCAAAAATTTTAACTTAATCCTCGTTGAAAGCTGTTATTTGGATCCACTACGAGACTTGAAGTAACCATGGGAGGGAACACTTTCTCCCCAATGAAAGTCTGCCTTCACGACCCAGGGCCTCCTTACTTACTTACAACTCGGTGCGTGTGATCTGCAGTGGAGATTGGTTTTCCGCGTATACAATCAAACAATGAACGCAGCCGTACATGTTTCATTTTTGGTGGCAAGAAGTAGCCACATTTGCAACCTTTCAATGGAAATCCGAAAATAAAGAACGTGAGTGTGACTTCTCCGAGGAAAGGCTCATCCCTCACTGTGCGCTCTCCTCAAAAAAAATCGTACACCGAGGATGAAGTGAGGTTTTTTCCATGAGGTGAATGGGTCTGCATCTGCAGTAGCACGCCATTCAAAAAAAACACTAGAATGGAGCTGGAGGGCAGGAAGACACAGATCATGCTTTCTTACTCCTCCCGTAGAACCCTCAAAGTGCAGCACTGGCGTGGATACCGAAAGCCCGCAGCGAACACGCAGTCAGAGGTAGAGAACAATCAGAAGTGAAAGAACGCAGACAAGTAGCGGCGGCCGTTGGCAGCGCGAGCGTAGTATGGCCAAGGTGTCCAAGGTAATCCCCTACCTCAAGCCGCGTTCCTCTGCGAGAATTGGCACGTTTGGTCGCGGCTGGCCCATCGCGAGACCCGGGGTGAGTGATTTGTCTTTCCTAAGAATGCTGATGCATCAGCTATACACATGTGGACTCGATTCATAACGCAAGTTGCTGCTTCATTTCGGCACATCATCGTAGAGATTAAGAGCCAAACCTAGTTGTATACTTCTTGTAGTAATTGGTGTAGTGATCAAAAGATTGTGCTTCTGGCGGTAGCCGTTTTTCAGTATATGTCGTTCTGTACTGCGCTTCTTCCCGAATAACTGATGCTCTAGAGTAGGGTGTTTAATGAATGCTGCTAGATTCAGTTTTCTGACATGTTGGATTTCTCCTTCAGGAGACCATATATCACGACGAATCCATGCTTTCTAACAAAGCAAGCGCTTCACTTCAAGTCATTCTCATTCATAAATGGAAATCGCCTCAGCTGCATCAAATTTATTCCTTTCATTCTGTGTAACATAATGAGCTTCTCTTTTGATATATTTAATTTCTAGCGGCTCCAGTCTAATTCGATTTGCTGACTTCTTCTAGATTAGACATAGAATTGCTAGCGGAACCGCTTTTTGTTCCTGTCTACGCTCGCTTCAAAAAAAGATTGTTCCTTTTACAGACTGTGACCTGATCTTTATTCTTCCACGCCCTGCCCCCTCCTAAAGAAAGCCCTACGAACAAAAAAATCAATAGGAACAAAACATTGAAAAAAACTACACACCAAAAAGCCATCTGATTTTGGTGACATTCGAAGCAAAGCGGTACATTCCGTTAATTGGCCAAACCTGGCGGAAGCCACGCATGCAGGCTCACCCTGAAAATAGCGCGCAAATCGATCGCCGAACTCCCTACTCATCTACGCGCCCCTTAAACCCGCATCCCTTTCAACAAGTCAGAGTGTTAGGCAATTACGCCGGCCTTTCACCTCTACGTAGCTTCCTCCACGTTCCCAAAAAATTGCGTCAATTTCCCCAAAAAAATGCTAACGGGTAAAAAGAGGGAGATTATACTACACTCAAACAATTCGCACTCATTACCTTTTTCTGAGTTTTGGGAAAATCTCTGACTTCCAGACCCTTCTACGCAAACTGGATACGATCTCTTCTCTTAAGACTTGAATGCACGAATCCTCCTCGTTGCGGGATTCAAGAGCAAAGACAATGAGGGTTACACTGGGTGCCGAAGCACCAAGCGCTCCCGATTGCGCTCCACAATGCTTCCCCAGAAGCCTAACCCAGGCTTATGATTCTCTGTGTGAAGATCAATATTCAAATCAAGGAGGGTTCGAAATGTTTCTATGATATTGAACAGAAGTCGAACGCGTGGCGAATATTAAAAGGAACCAATCACCAGATTGTCCTTCTTCTATCTTTTTTGAATACCAGGGATGCTTACAGCGTCTGAACAAGGCAAAAGAATTTTGAAGAATCGGACAAGGTAAGTTTCGTCAGCTTCACTGTGGCGAAACCAGAGAGGTCTCCCCCTCAACCCAACGGAGAACATCTCATCACTAAAGCTCATGTCACACGATCTTTCTAATGACAAGAAATACATAGTCGAGTCTCAACTTACAGAAGATCACCGCGACATTCGTTCATGACGTCAATCGCTTTCTTTTGTTCTTCTTCGTCAAAAAGCCACAGAACACACACCGTTATGTGCAGCTTGACGGGTGATGTGAAGAGATCGGCATTTCGCGACTCCTCCTTCAATACACTCGCTCCAGAAGTTAGGTGAGTAATGTGATAGCCCTCAGTAAGACAGGCCTTAATAAAGTTCTTCTATAACTAACCGGAATTCTTGGATTGTTCATGACAGCTTCTTCTGAAAAGCTCAAAGGACTGGACGATGTCTGACTGTGCACATGGAACCGCGACAAAATGAGTGACCGGAGCCTGAAATCAATTTCTGGAGCCAAAAATTAAAAAGCTTTTGACAGGAGTCAACCATGGAATCATGCCATCGTTAACTCAGTGTGCATCAGTTTCGAGTATTCGAAAGAAGGAGGGGTGAGATTTATGTTGCAAAGAAGGGTTGTGTACTGGGGATTTTTTCCCATTTGGGTGACATGCTCTGTGTTCAGTTTTCTGCAGTCGATGGTTCCTGGCAGCACGAAAGCGAGATTAGGAGAGCTAAAAATAAACGCCAAAGCCACAAGAGGAAAGAAATTGTTCGAAGAGAGCGACCGAGAGACAGAAGATGGGCATAGACAAAAATCGAAAGAAACTGAGAGAATGGAACAGACGGCTGATAGTAGTAGCCGAGACTGAATGATGAACAGCAAAAAACACAGGGAGGAAGGTGGGCGACAAAATAGAGGAATCTATCTTCCTTTCTCTCATACGTATCCACATTAAAAGCAGATATCAGCTACGTGGGCAACCCAAGGGTATGGTAGGGCATACCCTGAATGTGCCTCCTCGAGGATCAAAGGCACGGTCCGCGATCAGGTGTCAAAGTTGGAAATATGGCATCAGGAGGTTATAGTGGTCCGCGATGAACAATCTTGTACCGGTTTTCGTGGCAATGTTTGGCAAAGGGAGGGGCGCTGTGGCGCAATATAAGTTCAGTGAGGCCTTTTTTCCAGTGACTCCGCCTCCAGACTCCGCCTCCAATGCCCGGCTTTCAGTGAAAAACGAGATTGCAGGACGAAAAAGCATGAAAATCGTCACTTGTACGATCGTAGAGTTCTTATCGGTGAATCAGCTGTGCGTATGAGGGCGTAGTGTGGGAGATAGAGTTAATTGGGCACGTACAAACTGGGATCAATGGGGTTCTATCTAGGGCAGGTGGCATGTTTTTTGTGCTTTTTTTTCTTCACTGTCGAGTTACTCAACCCCTTGTCGTCTATATGGAACCCCTTATCGCAGGTTCATCTTTAATGTAGATGAATAAGGGAAGTGTAATGCACCCGAAGTGTGGTTACGGCACCGACGCTTGACTCATAGCAATTCGCTAAAAAGTTGTAAGTAGGCGGTGCTGGGCTAAGTACACTGGGCTAAGTTGCCTCCCACGGAACGGGTGTTTCTCTGATATGAACCTCTCACCGTTTTTCTTGCCTCAGTCACGAGCAGCTCTATACGATCCAAGCAACGCTGCACATTCTCGAGACCGACGAACGATTTGATCTCTTGAACAGAAATCGCTTTCGAAACATTCTAACAAGAGGAGAAGCTAAAGCAATCGGTTCACTAACCCACGTTTCCCTTCTGCCCTTTTCGAGGGATCGTCAGGCGACATTCCGTGGACTCTTCCAGTTCACGTCTTGTGGTTCCACGTGTGCCTATTAGCCTGCCATAGAACGCACTTGGGACGTAAATTCTAAAGGAAAGAAGTGATGAATTTTCAGTTATTCGAACATTCCGAGAATTCGAACGCTTTCCTCATACGAGTCATATGTTCAAAGAATAAAAAATGCAAATGTCTCGCAAAAATGATCGTAGCTTTATTAATTTCATTCTCTATATGTACTTCGTGGTCCGGGAAAATCGTGGGTGGGAAAGAATGATAGGAAAAGCTTATAAAAACGTAGACCGGTACAGTTCGGCTTGGGAGGGGGGAGGCGGGATTTCACACCTTCGCCACTTCCCATCGTCGTGTCGAGCCATCAAGTAGACTAGAAGATCAGTGGAGCCATGAAGGGTTACCAGTCAAAGGTTGTACAGACCAGTTGTCAGCTCCTGCACAGAGTACCCTTTCAACTCTTGTAAAGCAATGAACACGACGATGGGAAGCACTGAAAGTGAGGAATGCACCATTCCCCTCCTTCCCCTCCCCCTTCGGCCAAGCGCTTGTGGATTTTTTTTAAAATTATAATCTATGCCCTTGTTCCGTGAAAATTCCAAATATCACATCACCCCATATATATAATTCGCTCTGTCTGTTTGTTTGTTTGTTTGTTTTGTGAGTTTGTAATTTTCTGTCGTGAAATTTGTTCTTTGTTTTTTTTTGTTCTTTCGACCTGAAGAACGACTTGGAGAGGTCGGGTCAAGGTGGGGATGGGTAGGGCATGGGACAAGAAATAAAAAGCACACATGACCTATGGGAAGCCCCGCCCACAGTGGGCGGGGCACTCGCTGAAAGTTTGGGGTTCCGCAGAAAAATGTTCATAATTCGCTTCCGGAGCAGCTCAAAGATGGGGAAAAAAGAGAGTAAGGTTAGTAAGGAGTCGCCAGACTAACTGCGGCAGACACATCCAAAATGGGCGGGGCGTACTCAAGGTGGGCGGTGCTTCTCGCAAAATTCAGTAACCCGGTTCGCGAGTGTTTGGAAGTCGCAAAAAACTCACTGTTAGAATATAAAGGTCAGCAGCGAGGGTCGCGGTGAGATTGTGGGTCCAAAAAACTTTGTGGGTCGGGAGCCTGCTCGAGGTGGGCGGGGCCAGACAAAAAAGGTCTGTAAAACGGTTCCAGAGCACTCCGAAGATCGGAATAAAGTGAATTCAGGTCAGCAAGGGGTCGCCGATTGAGAAATGTGGGGTAGACATATTGTGGGCGGGCCAGCCCGAGGTGGGCGGAGCCAGACGAAAATTCTCTCTACTGTCCAGAGTACTTCAAGAGAAAAAAGCGATGGATTAAGGCCTAGCACAGGGGTCGCCGCGTGAGATTATGGGCCATAAAAATTGGCCGGGCTCGGGCCTGCTCCAAGTGGCGGAGTCAGATCAGAAAGGAATCTGACAAAATCTCGGTTCCCAGAACACTCCAGACACCGGAAAAAAAGTGGACTAAGGTCAGCAGAGGGTCGCCGGTGAGGATTGTGGGGCAAAAACATTGTGGGCGGAGCCTGCTCCGAGGTGGGCGGAGCCAGACAAAAGGTCTGTAAAACGGTTCCAGAGCACTCCGAAGACCGGAATAAAGTGAATTCAGGTCAGCAAGGGGTCGCCGATTGAGAAATGTGGGGTAGACATATTGTGGGCGGGGCCAGCCCGAGGTGGGCGGAGTCAGACGAAGAATCTGTAAAATAGCTCAAGAGTACTTCAGACACCGGAAAAAAAGTGGAGTACAGAACAAAAGGCGGATATCAGTTGAGTCTAGAAATATGTGAAAGAAAATACGCGCGGCGAAGCCGCGCTCGCCCGGCGCAGCCGGGCCGTATCAGAAGGAGGCCGTCGGCGTTGGCCGGCGAGCCGACTGGTGTATTAATAACGTATTTTATATTGAAAACCGGGCAAACAACCTTCGGCGTATCTGTCCAGTACGCTGCAGAAAAGGGGGCGTGTCAGGCGCGATGAGCTAGATGCAAAACCCCTTCCCCCAGTGAAGCGAGCAGATGACAAAACTGTATCATGGCGTTCGTATCACTCGTTTTCTACCCAAACTGTTGTCGTGTACCGCTTCAAACAAACGTGCAGAGGATCCAGAGATCGAGTTTGGCGCCGTAGCATACTCATACTGCCTGACACACCCCTCCATCCGCAGCGAACTAGAATACTGCTTAAGCGCAGTGCGATGATTCAGAATTTCAAGTAGTAGTGAATAAAATGCATGATCTCCGCAAATGCAACAGTTGTTCACACCCGAATGAATAGTTGTGAAGGAATCTTACTCTGCTGTGTATTTTCCACCATCATACGAAACCCTTGGATCGCTGTCGCATAACTTCACTGCTGGATCTGCCGGTTTTTCGTCATCGCCAGATAGCTGGCGCTCCCGTTTTGCTGGGATAACTGAACAAGATTGTTGAGGACCCCAAATTACATAGTCTACGACTGTAAGAGTGAATCGTAGTCACAAGACAAACGTTGAGCTCGCGTTACTGGAAGATTGTTCACTGGTTAAAGGCAGTTGGCACGATGATTTGGTGCTCGGCCTAAAATGCTAGTAGGGCGCTATATAGTGGGGAAATGGCGAAAGAACGGAGTGAAACGGTCAAAATCCTGCGAAGAAAGAGCCTCCGTTCTCAATGTGTTAGAAATCAATTTTGGACGAGTTTCCTGTAGGCATCTTGCCAATAACCGCTACCGAAGGTACGGCTGCATATGTGTACTCATATATCCATGCAGCATCACGGCCGCTTCATACCAATCCCTTCGCTTCATAATTTGCTTAGCAAATGAATCGACT